TATACATAATATGTGTGTATATATAATATTTATAAACACATGAGTTATGAAACGTAAATTAATAAAAGGCAATACAAAATAAGGTGGTGAGATTCTCCCGAAACTCCTCAAAACAGGGATAGGAAGAAGAGAGTAGTTTCTCGAGTGGATAGCACTAGCTGTGGAATCCCATGGATGAGGAGGAGTGCTTTTATACCCAAGGAGTCAGAGATTACTAAGACAGCAAAATTTTAACGAGAGTAGAGTGTCCAAAGTTTGAACCAGGGATCGGGTATTGTATTATAGTGACGCAGTTGTTCTTTACGCTATTACTAACAAAAAACTATAAATCATTATTTGATATACATTGCATTCATTCGAGTGGAATCTCTTGCTTTTTGTGAACGAAGGAAGCACTGCGAGTAGTGTTTGACAGAAGGCGTTTTCTCTCTGAGTTTGTGTCACTGACACGAGACGTCTGTCGGTTGTCGGAAGAGCATTTTGAACTAGTGTGTGTGTGTATCTGTGTGTATATATGTGTGTGTAAGCATTATGTGATGAATTCTGATCGACTACAATAGTATTCGTTGCAGAGCAATTTACCGAAGATGATTTAATGAACAGCTTTCATCTGCTGCTCTGTACCGTGGATTTCATATTCCAGGACCTCAGGCATTCCGAACTGTCACATCTACTAGATGGTGATTTTGGTAAATTTTTCAGAATTTTCATTGCTTTTTTGCTTACTTCTAATGCAGTTGCTGTTTTTTTCTTCTGCGTGAACATGTTAATTTTTGAACGATAGGGGAAGGCGGGGGAGGAGAGAGGTGGGAGAATCAGCTGGCGAATGTTTGCAATTGTTATCACTCACGGGCTATTTCAGTATGCCTTCGCCTCACAGAAGTTGAATTCGAAGATGTTTTTTGATCGGTCAGAGACGTGCCCCCTTTTTTTCTTGGGAAATAACAATGGATGTTAGTAAACTACCGTTACAGTACCTCTTTTAGCACCCCCCTTCCCCAAATTTTTGACTTAGTTAAATATGGAATGGTATTGAAAGCCCTGAGAGCTCATTTCACTTTTTTCCAAGCATTTTTCTAACTTTTCTAGCTTAAAATTCCGTATTTTTGAATGGCAGCGAGATTAATATTTTTTTCAAGTGAATGCTGTTGAAATACAACCGGAGGATGATTCGCTGCTGGAAACATTATGCCAAATATTCGAAGGAGTTGTACTGGATGCAAAACATTTCCGAACTCATTGTTGGTTACCACGAATGCGTAAAATGATCGATGATAAAGTTATCGATGTTTCGGAACATTTCTCGAATTTTGTCGCCAATGAGCCCACTAACAAGTATGAATTTTTACGCCCAGTTTTACTATTTTTTGTATTTATAGAATAGCCGATTCGTTTTTTTTTTTTTTTTTTTT